TGGGTGCTACTATATAGGATTGGACAAAATCAGGGCCATGAGATCCATAGCATTGCAATTCTTTCATTCTTTTCATAAACTATGGGCAGCCAGAAATACAAACAAGAGCAAGAGAAAATGAAGCCTGAACTCTAAACAGAGATTAAAATTACTCAGTTGAGATGATTGTACTGAAGACGAGAATAACTGAGAAAGACAGTAACTTAGGAAAAGAAAAAAAAGTGAGACGGATTAATAAAGGCACACCTTTTTGTTTGCAACACCTGAGCAGGTCTGCTAATTGCAGGATCAAGTCATTAAATTGTAAGGTTGCTATATATGAGGAACAGTTGATGACACTTAGCAACAAGAGAGGGAGCTTCCACACTGGTTATACCCAATTTCAGTGAATGAAAACTCACTGTAAAAAATTTTATAGAGTAACAACTGCTGCTGAGTCACTTCTGACTTACAGCAATGCTTTCAGGGTTTCCTAGGTACAGAGTACTCAGAAGTAGTTTACCATTCCCTTCTTCTGGGAATAGCCTGGAAAAGGGCAGCTGGCCCAAGGCCACACAGGCTGGCTTGTCTGAGATGCACAGTGGGGGACTGAACTCCTAACCTCCGGCTCTGCAGCCAAATACATACCTACCATACTGAGCTATCCAGCCAGCTAAAAAACATTATTATGCATAATAATTTTTACAACAAACCCATAAAACATTTTTAACAGATAGCCTCTTGGGCAATGTCTCTCCCCCTTCAGTCCTGCCTTGACAGCACAGCACAGCCATAATTACTGGCCTCTGAATGAGGATGCTTTTTAAAAAGTAAATACAGTGGTGCCTCGCTTGACAACGATAATGTGTTCCATTAAAATCGTTGTTAAGCGAAATCGTCGCCAAGCGAAATTTAAAAAACCATTGAAATGCATTGAAAACAGTTCAATGCGTTCCAATGGGCGAAATACCTCATCGTGCAGCGAAGATCCTCCATAGGGCGGCCATTTTCTGGTGCCTGTATAGCGAGGAATCCATCCTTAACACAGCGGGGAGCCATTTTGGAACCCAACGATCAGCTGTTTTTAGATTGTCGTAATATGAAGAATTGGTTCCCGAAGCAGGGAACCGATCGTTGTGAGGCGAATTTTCCCGATAGGAACATCGTTTTGTGATCACAATAGTGATCGCAAAAAAACCATCATAAAGCGGATTCGTCATTTAAGGAGGTAATCGTTAAGTGAGGCACCACTGTATACTATGCAGCAAGCACATCAGATTCTACAAGTCCAATGTTTTCATTTTTTTATTGCCAGGCCTGGAATCTTGTTGCAGATGTTTCTTCTCTAACAAGAGACTCTTTGGCCCCAACAGGGGCTTCCATCAGCAGAACAAGGAGAAAAACAACCTCCAGCAGTTCCACCGCAAGTCTCCAACTATTTGCACCTATACAAAATCAATGAATGGCAAGAGATGCACTGGATATAATCCACAATACCAAATGCATAAAGCATCCCATAAATTCATTGACCTTAATTAGATTAAAACAATCAATCAGACGCAGTGCACATCTTAATTCCCAATGGGGCAGTGGGTTCTCCATAAGGATTTAGGTACAATATGCAGAGGGAACTAAAAAGTGAGCCGTAAGGACAAAACGTGACATTCGTGAGCTAAAGTAACATGTCTGTTCTCCATGCCACATGGTAAACAATGTCTAAAACGAAGACGGTTTACAAAAGTAAACTGTAATATTGCAAGGGAGCCTGCAGTTTACCAAGTAAAAATATAAATAACTAAGAACCACATAGTCAAACCTATGACCTTTATCCACAGAGATCCAAGCCAGCCTTCTGCCTGCATGGAGAGGAGAGCCTGTGAAAACACCTAAATCAGTTCAACTCAAACTGCAAGCCCCAGAATGCCTTGCCATCAGTCTATATTAAAAAACAAAGGGCATGACATCTAGAAATATTTTCTGGAGTATCCATTTCCTCCGTTATCCCCAAGTTGCTTGAAGAAATGTCTGAAGACATTTTCTAACTACCAAGAGAGAAATGAACATGAATGGTGCACTAAGTTTCGCCAATTATACCTGCTCTTCCATGCTTTCTATTGCTTTCCGTTTCTCATCCTGAAGTTCCTGTTTCTCCTTCTCTGCCTCCATCAATTTCTTTTCCAGTTGGGATTGATATTCGGAGGACTCCTTCAAGCGAGCTTCGATGGCTGCCCGAACTTCCTCAGTCACCTGCACAGTAAGATTAGCCTCACTTTGAAATGAAAGATACGTAGTGATGCAGAACATATATGCCATTGTCACCCTCCATGACCATGCACACTGCTTTCATTTGTGACCTTGACAGCAAGGGCATTTCCAATATAGTTGATTGCATTGCTCCAATAACCAAATTTTAGGATTTAGCCACACTATAGCAGCAGTTCACGCGCCATGATATGCCCTCTAAATGCCTACTGCAGATTATACGGGACAAAGGAATGCAAGCATACAGGGCAAATTACACCAGCCAGAACAATTAGTTTAATTTAAAAAACAGCAACACCAGTATCTTCAGAAAACTTTCTTTCAGAGAATGTTCCCATCTAGCCAACGTAGTCAACATGTCCTTATCTGATACTTTCAATCAATGTGTTCCAGACCAGGGTGGAACGTGAAGGTAACAATTAAGAGGGGCTCACTGGTAGAAGGAAGCAGGTGCCTCGGACTGTCTCAAAGGAAATCTAGAGCAAAATTCTGAACTGAGTCTGGAATTCAGTGAAACCGTAAAAGGTCAAGTGGCATGATGAGAAGGACTTCTTCCCATCTGGCTGCTATGTTCTTGATACTTTTCAAAGAGAACCTCATACTACAGAACTCACAACAGTCTACAACAGTGGTTCTTAAAATTTGTTACTCAAGTGTTTTTGAACTGCAACTCCCAGAAACCTCAGCCAGCAGAGCTGATGGTGAAGGCTTCTGGGAGTTGCAGTCCAAAAACATCTGAGTAACAAAGGTTAAGAACCAGTGGTCTACAACAATGGTTCCCAACCTTGAGTTCTTGGACTGCAATTCCCAGAAGCCTTCAGCACCAGCTGTGCTGGCCAGGGTTTCTGGGAGCTGCAGTCCAAGAACATGAGGGTTACCCAAGGTTGGGAACTACTGGTCTACAGGGATCTAAGAGGATGTGACAATGATATTTTCTCCAAGAACCTGACATGGCAGCTGAAATGCACTCCTAGCCACTATTTCTCCTTGGCAAAGACAAGTTCTTTTTCGCTCCTTCCATATGTCAAAATGGGATGCACTAAGCATGATACCTCATTCCACCTGGAAGAACAGATCAGGGAAACACTGGGACAGATCCAGACTTAGGTCACACTTGGAGTTTACATGGGGAAATAAATAGGGCTTTGGTTGTCCCACTGCTATCCATTAGTCTAGGGCAGTGGTGGCGAACCTTTCTGGGCTCGCGTGGCCAAAATGGGGGCGTGGAAAACAGCAGGTGGCAATGGACCCGGAACCAGAAGTGGCAGTTTAAGGCGACGGACCCGGAAGTGGCGGTGGAAGGGAGAATCCCGGCTGCAGCCCCCTCATGAGGTTTGGCTGTGCGGGGGGGGGGCGGTGGCAGTGGGGGAAGTAGTGACCTATGGCTCGCGTGCCAGAAAAAAGGGCTACACATGCCAGCTGTGGCGCGTGTGCCATTGGTTCGCCATCACTGTTCTACGGCAAGCAGAGCTAAATCTAGATCCAATGCATTGTTCCATGACTAAAATATGCAGAACAGGTAGTATTAGTGGCACTGTACCTGCTTTTCTTTGTTAAGCGATTCCTCAAGATTTGCCATCATCGCTCGGTACTGCTCCACATTGCTTGTAGCAGTCTTAAGCCTTTCCTTCAAATCGTTAACTTGCTCTTCAGGTCTAGGGCAAGCAGAGCTAAGTCTAGATCCAATGCATTGTTCCATGACTAAAATATGCAGAACAGGTAGTATTAGTGGCACTGTACCTGCTTTTCTTTGTTAAGCGATTCCTCAAGATTTGCCATCATCGCTCGGTACTGCTCCACATTGCTTGTAGCAGTCTTAAGCCTTTCCTTCAAATCGTTAACTTGCTCTTCAGACTGCCTTAATCGACTTACAAGATCATCCACATCCTCATTTGTACCTGGGTGACCTAAAAAAATTAAAATCACTGCATTAATTAAACTTCCAGTACAAAAATTCTAATGCGATTTCTTGAAATACATATCTTTGAATATACACTCACAAAAGAAGCATAACGATTTCCTTCTCTGCCCTCACCACCCACACTAAAGCGTTAAAGTTCAATCTCTAAAGACAGAGATGAAATGTCTGACTAGAGGACAGGAAGGGTCCATACAGAAAAGTGCGCTTCTAAACTCATCCCTTGAGTCTCTGTCAAATGAATTTATGCTATAAACCTGTTTGTTGTCTTGAAGAATAAATCAATCTGAAATTTAATTGTTTCAGGGAAATCTCCTCTTTTCAATATAGAATTTTTAAAATAAGGAACAAAACAAAATATATAAAGTGTTTGATTCTGCATGCCATGAGTATTCTCATCACTGTTAATAAGCTAAATACAGTAAAGTCCAGGTCATCTGCCTCTGGTCCATTTAATGAAAACATACAGCTAATTATGACTAATTTTAGTTCTGTTGAGTTAAATAGTGGGAATTAGTGTGATTTAGCGTAGAGCCAATCCATGGAGTTTCCGATGGTCTATAATCTTTGCCTTAAAAAAACAAACAATCCTGACTACCATGAAAGAGCAAGCAGTCCAAGATAAAGTCACACAATATTAAATAAATGGTATCTAATGGGAATACACAAGCCCTATATTTAGAAAACTGATCTTTTAATTCGTACCGGATGACACTAGGGATATTACATTGGTTTTACCAATGAATTTTACTGCCCTGGCTTCCACAATATAGAGTTACTCTCTCATGTCTGTATGTGTTGGGCACAGCTTCAGATGGACAAACATTCCCTTATTTCTCACCTTGACCAGCAGACGGCTGCACTGACTGGGAGGCTAACTGAGCTTCCATATTATGGAGTTGCTGCTTTAATGTCCCAATCTCCTTTTGGGCGTTCTTCAGCAGTTCTTTTGTGTGAACATGAAGGTTCATTTCTGTCTCAAGCTGCCTTTTAGTGTCCAATAAATGAATCTGAAAGGGAGAATGCAACCCTTAATTCAAAGCCAGAGACAAATTTAACACCTAGAATCTATTTGGGGCAGAATTCCCACATGAACTTTAACCTTAAACAAGCCCCAACACCATTCCTATCTCAAAAATCAGCTCCAGTTAATAGTTATTAAATATTTCTGAAAGTCAGTTTTGTTTTTATTGCCAAAAATAAAAAATAGAAAAAACAATTGAAAGCTTCATTTGCCTGAGTTAGCTGCTCACCCTTATCCATGAGATCAGTATCCACTAATTCACGGTCTGAAAACATTAAAAATATGAAAAGAAAAGAAAATCCAAAAAACAAACAAACAAAAAACAAAACAAAACTATTTTCACATGTATTACAAGAACCAGCCACTAAAGGGAGCCAGATACCATGCTCTGAATACTTGTTAGTGAATAATACATAGCATGGTCTCTGGTGCCCTCAAGTAGCTAGTTCTGGTAATACATGTGAATATATATATTCTTATCTATCTATCTATCTATCTATCTATCTATCTATCTATCTATCTATCTATCTATCTATCTATCTATCTATCTAATCTATCTATCTATATATCTATATATATATATATAGCGCTTGCTATTATCTGTGGTTCCACAGGGCATACTTGGAAACAATTTCCAGTAGATATGGGAGTCCTAGTGTACGAGGTTACTACCCAGAAGTGTTTTGCCTCCTATTACTGTAATCTTGGAGGCTAAACATTTTGCAATAGACTGGAGAGCTAGAAAAAGCTAGTGACCATGACACTATATGAAATACCTGAAAGTCCCAAAGACATAGCCTTACACTGATCAGTCTTTGTGGTAAACTGTCTACAAACCCACAGTATTACAAAGTGCCACTTTAAATGCAACAATGTACAGTGGTGCCCCGCATAGCGACAATAATCCGTGCAGCAAAAATTGCTGCAAAGCGATTTCGTCGCTATGTGAGTTTAAAAAGCCCATAGAGGAATGCATTAAAACCCCTATGGGCTTAAAACTCACCTTAATGCGAAAATCCTCCATATGGCCGCCATTTTCGCTGCCCGGTAAGCGAGGAATAGGCATGAAAACACAGCAGGCAGCCATTTTGTTTACCCGGCGGCCATTTTGGAACCACCGATCAGCTGTTAAAAAATCATCGCTTTGTGATGATCGGTAAGCGAAACAGGGTACCGATCATTGCAAAGCGATTTTTCCCCATAGGGAACATCGCAATGCGATGTCAAAAGCGATCGCAAAAAAAGTCACTATGCGGTTTCGTTGTTAAACGGGGCGCCCATTAAGCGAGGCACCACTGTACAGGTGTAGTCCAACATGCTATTTCGATTTGCCTAAACTTTATAAAGCCAGAGAGCAGGCAGCACCAAAGGAGAGGCAGAGAAAACAATCCAGCCTGCCTTTACACCACATGGACAGAATCTTGCTGTGGTCTAGGAATGTTGGCAACATTCAGCTGAGTATCTAAGGTACACCAGCTTGTCTCTACACCTCCAGAGGAATGCATTTTTTTTCCTGCCTTGCATGTGAAACCAAGTGCACCAACTCTCTCTCACTTTGCTGCTTACACCTCTTCCCAGTCACACCTAACCTGGAAGCAATTCCTTTCTACAACTGTGTTATAGTCCTCTGATGCAGTGCCTGATATTAGTCCCACAACAGAATGACTGATCTGCTTTTAGCCACCATATATGGTAAAATAGTAGGAAGGTGGATTTAAAGTCCCTGCCATGAC